CTGTCCTAAAATCTAGTTGGAGACTGAAGCTGTAAATGTGCTGATATTTGCCTAATACGTGAACAGAAGTCTGAGAGGAGGTTGATTAATTAGTGATTAGAAATATGTTAGTAAAATCCCATCAGGGAAAACAGGTATAGTGAATCCTGATTTCAAGAAAGTCTGTATTCATATCTGTTACAAGTTTCTGTTCAGACCTAAGTATTAACTGAAAGTGTGCATAGTGCACACAATCAGATATTAACAGTCTGACAACCTGAGTTATGTCACAGCTATGGCACTGAATACAAGTCATCTGTGGCTTTGGGCACATGAATGGATCTGTGGCAATTCAAGATCGTGTGAGTTAAAAAGCTGGAGAATGTAACACAGATCTGAAAATCAAATTAGCCTCCAATCCAACAATAGAAAAATGTACCTGCATAAATTTGGGCTAAATTTGCCAGACCTTCATTGTGTTTGCTTCTTTCCCTCTCCCATTTTCAAATGCACAGCTTGTTGATCTAACACAGCTGCCTCCATGCAATTTGCTTGAGGTTTATGCCTCGGGCATTGTGTCTCTGTTTGTGAATCCATCACACAGACATATTGATACCCTAGTTGACGGTAACAGTTGATTTTTCACCTGTAATGCATTTGTCTGTAAGAATCTCTTCAGGGAAAATGGAACTAAAACCTGGAACTTGTTTTAAATAAAGACAAAATGAATTTGTATTAAATGATGTGCTATAAATATTTGCACTTGTAACTCAAGTGGATACTGTCAAAATATATATAGAGTTTGCATGCTAAAATATATTTTATCATAACTACAAAAATTAAAAAGGAGAACAGGTCCCAGAAGCTATTTCTAGCAGCCAATTTTCAATAAGAGTATGAATTGGCAACTTCAGAGGGCTATTTCTGACCAGAAGGTTTCCCTCTTTGCACTGAAAACTTAAAGTGGGACAGAGGACTGGAGACATGTGAGAGAGATGGCATTCTTCAGCTTGTGCCACTATCAACTACCATGGTCCAGAATCTAGACCTTTATTTCAAAAGCTTTTAGTTTTGTGTTTGTGAAGATAACCATAGACGAGTGAATTGACTATAAACCAATGCAGCAATGTCAGAGTCAGTCTGAAGATAGGCCTAAGCAATAACTCTGAGACAGTTATGTGATCTGTTTATTTAGGGCTGCTTTATGGTCTTAAGCTGCAAACTGTTTTGTTGACTGCTTTGCTGTTGTTCAGTGCATTCGAGAAAGACAAGTATGGAAGTTTCAGTACATTTGCTAATGAGTGACATTCTTGTAACAGAATTTGGGGGAGCAGGAGACTGCTTTTCATAAACTCTGTTTTCAAATGCAGCACACCTAGGAAAAACTCTGACATTTTAAGGCAATTTCATGCATACCATTTCCTATGACAAGCTGTGTCAAAGGAAGGACCGTAGTTCACAACTGAAAGACAGCTAGTGTTGTTGAAGATGATTTATATATGTAGAAGTCCCGACAGGTATGTGTTTACCTACAACTGATGTTAGTTAAAAATGTAAATACAGAAAACTTCCAGTATGAGAGGAGGCTTTAGGTTTTTAGACACAGTATACCAAGCTCTGTCTTGTGTGTACTTATTCCTTCTTGCATAATCTTGTTTGCTTGGCAACAACATCACCTGAACAGTGATTGTAATATACAGTATTTGACATTACTGCAAAATTTTAAAACAAATGTTACATTACAAATGTGGAAACAGAGGTAAAGTAATTGGAAAAGAACAGATGCTAGACATTACAAAAAAAAAGCAGAATTAATCATAAAGTGCTGTCAGAAGGTACTTGGGGAAATGTGAAAATATGCAATGAAATTGTGAAGAGGCAGGTAACTAGGTTATAATTGCATTTGAAATCTAATGTGCAGTCAGAATCTGAAATGTTGGAACCATAAGAATTAAACTTACTGAAGTAATGAGTTTTCCCTTTTCTTCATTCAGAGTTTTTATTTTTCTGTCTAGAGGTTGCAGACCTCAGTTTCATTGTGTTGTGTCTGCACTCAGTTTTACATGTAGGATAGTAGATAGGGAACAATGCCCACCATTTAAGAAGACATTAAAAAAAGGAAAAAAAAATAGAAATGTAGACACTTGTTGGGGGGTCACAAACCCCATCCACTAAAATCACTAGCAAATTCCCCATGGAATTCAACAAGGACAGGATTTCACCTTCAATTTGGATGAAGTGGGATGTACTGCTCTTGTGGTATGTATCACACAGGAAAGAACATGGTTTACATGAAAACGGGGTATATGCTTTGTCTTTTACCTCAGCAGGGAAAGCTGAGTTTGGACCATATGCACAAGGACTAAGCTAGAGTCCATGTGAGCCATGGCATTCCCCTTGACCGGGATCACTGGGGAACAGTGGAAGGTGATACATTGCTGTCAATCGTCCTGGTCTCCAGCTGTTTCATTCCAGCTAATTCATTCAAGTCTGGCTTTGGAGACAGAGCTGCTTTCTGAAGTTGATGACAGTGGCTGTTCTAATCTGTAAACTCCCTGGAATCTTCGTTCTGAGTTCTTATTAAAGTTGGTTGTTTTGGTAAGGGATTCTCAGTTGTTTTTGTGATGTGTTAGCACACTACATGAGCTAAGGCTCCTAAGGTAGCCCTGTGGTCACAGGTCAGTGACCCCACCTAGGAGCTACCAGATGAATCGGAGCGATGGTAGACCCTCCAGCAAGCTGGGTGGGCAGCTGGGCTGCCAGGGCAGGAAGCAGGGCTTGCCTCTGCAGCAGGCTCCGCAGAAACATGCTGAAAATACAATCCAACATAGCAAGCAGGTCTTGCTGACAAGAATTTTGGTGTTTTAGAGAAAAGTTCATCATAAGGCCCACCTATATGTCTCATGGTTTCCCCCACAAATGCTTCAGACTGTGTCACGGGTCTGTTACCTGAGACAGAGCCTGTTTTATTGCAGCATCAAGATGTCTTGAGTTGAACTCTGTACAACTCGCAATGAACAAGGGAGGATGCTTGCCTGTAAGTTTTGGAGTATCTTGGGTCATCTGTGTGTGGAATATATTTTAGGTAACTCTTAGAGGTTTTCTGAATTTATCTTAGTTAAAATTTTCATTTTGTTCTAAGGCAGGTGGAGTCAGATTTCTGGTTGCCTAGACGCCTGCTTTTAGAGGCTGGCATGCCTTTAAAATAGAGCCCGCAAAATAAAATTCCTTAAACCACTGCTAAGATACATCTCAAAGACTGTGGGCTTATTGACACATACTTAGTATATGACTGTTTGCTGTAATATAAAGATGTAATTTGCATTCTTGAGGAAAGACCTCTACAATTACTGAGTGAATTCCCCACTTATGACCCATTGGTCATGGAAGTATGCAAGCAGATGCTCGGTAAACTTTTAGGCCACATTATTGTCTAGAGATGGTATTGTATGTATTCTGACACAATTTTAGTTTCAAGTACACATAATAGGGGATATCTATCTATCTGTTCAGTTTCACCTAGTGAACAAAACTTAATGTAGCGTGCCAGTTATTTGGAGAAATGATGTTATTTGTAGGAAGTATTGTCATTCATTTCAGTTGTCAGGCTTGTGATTTTAGAGAGGGGAACAGTCTGCTAACTGCATAGTGTTCCTAGAAATACAAGATTAGTCTCCACTTAGACTTACATTTTCCTGTGTTTTCTTCTAGCTTAACTTTAGATGTCCTAAAGAACAAGACTGTCCCTTGGGAGCATTTGCAAAGTCTAGTAGATCATACTGCCAGGAAGTTTCTCCTGCTATTAATTTTAAATTTCCTCCTTCTCAATTTCATTCCATTATCCCAAGTTTATACTTCCTGTACTTTCCAAGCAATTCCTTCCTTTTCTGTGTGTTTATACTCTGCACATACTTGCAGTAATTGTCTCAGCCCAGTTATTATTTCATTACCACAGTCATGCTTACCTCTTTTAACCTTTTCTTGCATCAGTTGAATCAGGTCCTGTATCAGTCCATTTCTTTGCTCTGAGTTGTCTCAGATTTGACAAGATCCTTCTGATAATAAGATTCCCAATATTTTCTACTTTGTATGGCTGTATTTTAAAATAGCTATGATTCACAGAACACACAATCAAAGTAAGACAAAAGTTGTCAGGCACTGTTGAAAAAACTATTTGCTACTTGCTAATTTTTACTTGAAGTTATTAACAGTTTGAGTATTTACAGTCCTACAGAATGTCTAAGACATTTTTAACCATTGGATAAACATATACATTTACCGGTGAACACAGCCAGATTTATATGTCCCTATACGCAGAAAGTAGCATATTCACTTGATGACCTGTACCATAAGGTCATATGCAGACTGCCTCTTGTGTCTATGAAAGAAGTGTCTTTATTTATTATGTTCTTGACTTGCAAAATTCCCATTATTAAACACTTCTGTGTTTTTGGTAGGTGGCTTTTGGCCAGCTGTTATGATGTATGCATTGTAGTGCATCGTATCCTAACCCTCTCTCCCACTCCCAAACATGTGAATTATTAGTTAGCCTTCCAGTATGCGTAATCTCTGTGGACAGCTGTGGTCAAGTCTTGGTTATGCTCCAAGCCAGAGTGGTATGGCATGTGAAAACAGAGGTTTTGCATCATTCATTTGCTCTTAAAACTTTGTACATCAGGGCCAATGCCTGGTCATTTTAAACCTCCTGTCGTGGGATTTACTGTGGTTCACAGCCACTGTGCGAACAGCAAATATATTTTGAAACGCTGTCATGGATGCTGCATCCAGAAAGAAAGCAAGCTGACCAAAAAGTACTGCTACTTAAGCCTGTACTGCCTATCTGAGGAAGGTTCTGCTTGCTGACAATACCACATAGAAATTCGTAGCTTGGTTAGAATGGCACATTCCAGCATGCAGGTACTACAGTGAAAGGCATTCTGGAAAACCCTAAGATAGGTGGGTAGGTTCCTTAAACGCAATGTGTGTGTTTCACAAGGCATTCTTTTGGTTTTGTTTTGTAGCCTAACAGCAGTGGTCAAGTAGTAGGGAAATGGCTTGGCCATTTTACTCCAGTTTTGGCACCGTCTCCCCATCACAGTGCGGTGCGACCTGTGACCCTGACCATGACAGATACTAAACCCATCACTACATCCACTGAAGGTGAGGCATCTTCACCTACAGCAACCAGTAAGTATTTCTTTAGGAAACAAAAAATGTCCATCGAAGATTTGATATGATTTCAAATTGAGGACAGAAAAAGGTGCCTTTTCCTACTATTTGACCAAGTGGATGCTCATCATTTTACATGGAGAGCAAACGTGATCTGACTGCAAAGCTTTTCCTCCCCAAATTTCAACCAATGCATTCATGTTACATGAACCAAAGTTTGTGACATGGCAACCAAAATGAAAGGGAAAAGCCTGCATATTTGACCACTATTCAAGAAAAAGAAAACGTGGTTCTTCATCTAAGGTGGACATTGTTAAGACATTGAGAAGCACACCCAGACAGCAAGGTTTACAGTGACCCACAGATGGAATTCCAAACAGGGATTGGATAATTTGCTCCTCAATGAGCTTTCCTACAGAAATCAAGCCTTGTTACAAGGCATACTGAATCCGAGCTATGACAATTGCATGTTGATATAGGTTGTGTCGTTTTTAGCAAAAAACAACTGATGTGGCAAAAGAAAATTTTAATTTCTTGTCATTGCTGCAATGGATGGTAGATCCACTGTTCCTTTTTTAAAAAAACCAACCAAAGTATATAGGACCATGCTATTTATCCTATTATCTTCAATGGAATTGTGGTTTTGGAAATAAGACCAAAGGTGTTACTAGCTATAGGGTAATTTCTTCTCTTCCAAATACTCAGTGATGCAGAATGTTGCTTTCTAACTGCCTTCTGCATTTCTGGTGTCTCTGAACTTTTATTTGGACTTGAGATGGCTGGTGTTTATCAGAGTGGTGAAGATTTTTAGGAGACACTTCCAAACATACACTTTGGAAGAAAACGTAACTATTTTTAAGAATATTAATCTCTTTAGGGTCATTAAAGTGACTTGCTTTAGACTTGTTTAGTATTTGAACTGTGAATGCAGTCCCTAACTTTTGGTCTGTCATTAACATAGACCACAAACTGTAGATTTCTTAGGTGTTATACTACTTCAGGTGTTTTCATTAGAATGTGAAGCTGAGATGAGACTCAAATATGTAGCAGTGGCCGAGATGTAAAGGAGGAAAACTGGTTATGCCTTTATTATAAAAGAATAGGAGTAACTTCTGGACAAACTATAGTTTAGGTATGAACAACTAGTTACATTGATAGATTTATGGAATTATTGTAGCTGGTTTTTTTTTAGTATAGCAGAAGTTTTGTTAAAAGTTGGTAGAGTATATCTGTATCCTCCCTGGTGGTTTGTGGTACAGTTCTTGAACCTTTTAGAAAGAGTTAGTTTTTGCAGCTAACAAGAAGCTGTTGCTCGAAAATTTTGGTCCAGAACAGAAAAGTGAGAAAACTGAGTTTGTGTATTGTTTCAAGTATTCATGGTTTCATTCTGCTTCCTGTTTGACATGATCATACCTGACCTAAATAGCTGTCTCAGATGAGGTCAGGTTTTCTAATACAAATGGCAAAACCAAAAAATACGATGTCAGAACTGCATTGGGATGTTTTCTGGTAATCTGACCATATTACTCATCACTACAGGAAGGCAAGCCTAATCTGTTCATTGCCCTACTACTAAGGGAAAATTTGAACTATGTTTTCACATGAAGTTGGCACCCAGTTTCTCACGCAGTTCATTGGAACTTGGGTACCAGATTCCCCGTGAACCTTAGAACATCTTGTCTTAGGTTTTTGAAATAAGGCTTCCTCATGGCTCCACAGCAGCGTGCAAGTAACTTCTTGCCTAAAGATCCAACAGGTGTTACTACAACACGTAAATAATAATAAAAAAAGCCTATGTACAAATTTTATTTCAATGTGACAGTTCTACTTATGGAATAGCTTATGAATGCTACATGTTCAGAGTGTTATGGCTTTCAGAGCAGTGCAGTAGTCTGTCTGCTTGGTGAAGCCTTTTGAAATTGGATTGGTACCTCTAAGAGCAAAAAAGGGAAGGAACGTAGCTTGTTGATGGAGAAAATAGCAAAAAATGAGGGATCATGTCCTGCTGATATATAAATTATATAAATTGTATATATTATATAAATTATATAAATTATATAAATTATATAAATTATATAAATTATATAAATTATATATGAATACATATAAACTGTATTATCAGTTACAATAGACCTGCCACACAGACTGCTAATGTTAATATAACAGGAAAATCAAGACTGAATATATTTTAAGGCATAGTTTTACTTTTATTTGCAATAACTGATTGATTGGTTCAAAATACATATCGATATATATATAGATAAAATGTGGCCACCAAGTTATCGTTATTATTCAGTCTGATGAGAATAAAATTGCAAATGATTAGCATTGCTTTTCATTCTGAAGTGCAATAGCATAATTGTTTTGAACGAGAAAGAACAGCAGGCTTTGATAATATTTGGGGAACCCTGTGGCCTCCACCATAATTCCCTTCTAATGAGTGATTAATTTTTATCACAGGTTTTCAGTAAAACCTGTTTACTGTAGAAAGCTTTTTTTAAAAAATAAATTTAGTGGATTTCATTTGCTTGTATTTGCTGTGTGACTTTAATACTAACAGGCCAATTCAGTACATACTCCCATCTAGGTCCTCACTGGCATGGTTGTGTAAGTCTATTCAATTTTAGCAGTTTTGCTTTGTCTGCCAGCAAATTTCCAGGTAGTGATGCTGCAAGTTGTAGTGTCGACATCTCCACACTGGCAAGTGGCGTAGAACTGCCTACCTCATTTCATAAGTGTCACCAAAAGCCGTAAGAGGGTAATGGCTTTTAGGGATTATTGATAGAGACCAGACAGGACTGTGACCTGCAGGTAAAGGATCCATATCCTGTAACTAATCCCAGCGTCACCTACCATTCTCCTTGTCCTCAGAAATTGATTTCTGCAGTCTTCTGTAGCAGATGGTGAAGAACGTCCTTAAATTCTCCCCCTGGGAAAATGTTGCGCAGGGGAGTTGAATATTTAATACTATATTGCACTGTAAAAATTAACTCCCTTCACATGAAGATACTAACCAAATTACATCCTATTTCCAAAGTCCTGTAAAGATTCATTTCATGCCACACAAGTAAATTGAACTTTTGATTCCAATTTGTTGCTGTTCTTTCACAGTTTTGTGATGGGCCTTCACAGCAGTGAGAATAAAAATTGTGCGCTAGTATTTTCTCTCAACATTGTAATCTCAGTGTTTTCACTGGTGCCTGAGACTGGCGTAATGGAAACAAGAATCAGGCTTGTGATTCCTTCAAATACATATCTTATTTAGTCACTTAAAAAAAGTATATATATTAATCAGAGGAACTTTTATTTAACAAGAGACATCATTATGATTTATACAGGCAGTTTCCATTGAAGTTTATAGGAATTTACACATGCCTTTCCAAATTTGGTCCAATTTTTCTTTTGCATTCTGTTAAAGTTTAAATAAGGGAAAAATGCAGACACATCCTATATATTGCAAAATCATAACTCTGAATCTCTCGTATTTGTACTATACCTGCACAGGGTAATAGTTGTGATAGGTTGGTATTTTTATCAATCTGTTTTGTTCTTCCTTAATCAGCCTACACAGCCTCAGGCACATCCCAAGCCAATCGTTATGTGGGACTCAGCCCAAGAGACCCATCCTTCCTACACCAGCAACAGGTGGGCAAGTTTCACATAGGTGTAATGATATAGAGAAGCTTTTTCGATATTACCTTCCTACATGCTACCACTGTTATCTTGGATTAGACGGTGTTCCTGAGGGTTTCAGAGTTTATCGTCCGAAGATAAAGTTTATTCAAAACAAAACTGAACCCTTTAAGAAATGTCAATTTAGCATGTGCTTTATTTCTGAGATTTGTGCCATCTTAGGGAACTTCTAATCATATTTCTTTCAATTATTTTATTTTTCAAGAACTCATACATGTAATCTTTAATAGGATTTTAGGAAAGAGAATGAGGTATATAAGGAACAAATATAATTTCAAATTCAGTTTAAAAAATAAATGAAGTTTCTCAAGCAAGAAGTCCAACTTATTATTTTCAAGCTATTTTGTTTTTTTTTTCCCCAGATGTTTAAGTCTACATTTCTTCATTTTGGTTCTAGAAGTTAAGATATAAAAACAAATTCTCAATGCAACACATCATCATTTCTAGTTTAATAGGTTTGAATTGGTCTGCTGATTTCAAATGTCATAAAACTACAGTTTTGTTCTGGTTTCTTACATCATTTATGTTTCAAGTAGCATTTTAAATTTCACATCTCATTAATGCTGTAAATTTAATGCAAATGAAGTGTTTACCCAAACTGTGAAAATATACAGCGGAGATTAATGATGGCTTACAAACAAATTAGCTGCAGTCACTAGAAAGGCGATACATACACAGAAATGCTACATGGCTAGTGACAGGAGTAAACTCAGACCCTTTAGAACTTTAACATATTTTATGATGTGTGTGTTGCTCCTCGATCGTAACAGTAGAGGACTTTGAAATTAACAGCATGTAAAAAGTTATAAGGAAAAAATCTGAATGTGGCAGTAAGAAAGGGGCTGTTAAATAGTCCTTGGTATTTATTGTACTGTATTTTTTCTCAGACTTGGGTTCCTGTCAACAGGTGGTACACATGCCTGTTTCATTTTTCAGTAAAACCTACCTGTTCTGTGTTTGCTGAGATGCAGCTGAAGTGTGCTTCATCTGGAACTCCCTATCCCTACCCACTCACAGGGCAAGGTGGCAGCATGTCTGTTTTAAAGGTCACCACATGCAGAGTTCAGAGAAAATCATAAAGATGATCGTTTATTCGAGATAGTTGATTCTTTGCCAAATTCTTTTTTTAACCAGTGAGACCTAACTGGAAACATCTGCACACTTTTATGAAAATACCAAATGATAATTAGTTGGTTTGCCAAACATTCATTTTTCAGTAAATTTTTTTTAGCCTCTCAAAGATTGTTGCATTATGAAATGTGTTATAATTACTATAACAGGGTTCTTTTTAAAAGATATACAATATGTTTGTTGTATTCTATAACACACACAATATCTCTCTTTCTAAACACAGTGCATGTAATTGCTGGATTTCTTTTCATGTGAAGTTTTACATAGTATCCTTTGAAAAGTCTCTGACATCCAGTTAATTTTGGGATGTGCAATAATTTCTTTTTCACTACATGTTTTTAGACAGAATTTTTTCTGCAAATTTTCTGCTGCTTAAGCCCATTCCACCTTCTTCCAAGTTCATTGAAGGAGTTGCAAACTTCTTGTCACATGCCAGAAGGCAGTGGCAGCATGCTTAATTTTCTTTTGGCTGGGTTTTTGTCATGTAAATCATATATTGATTATTTTATGTGTCTTCTATGTATTTTTCGCTTTGTGTAGATGAAAATAAATCTGGAGATTTCAGCAGTGCCATAGGAACAGAGAAGTGAGAGGGATCTCAAGGGTCATCAGCATGTTTGGTGTTTACATGCACTGTGTCTTATACTCCTTTTCATGGTAAAACATGTGGCCAGATGGCTTAGGGAGAAGAGGAAAATAAATTAGATCTCACATACACTTCATAAACTGAAAAAATTCTTCAATGCCACTGTGTGAAACCAGTGTTCTCCCTTCCAAAGCACATTGCTTCCTATTCTCATTATATTAATTCCAGAGCATCAACTGGCGACCAGTGAGCCATATAGTAAAATTAAAAATTGTAATGTTCTCATCTTTGCTGTGAATTCTCTGTTCTTTTCTGACTTATGCAGTGGATATATGTGTAAGTTTGCCTGAGTGTGTTTTTGGGGGGTGCGTGTGTGGATGTCTAGACATTTAAATATGTACAAAATTAGGGAGTAGTATGTACTGCTGAAACCATTTAAAAGAACAGAATACTTTAACAACAAAGCTTTTTCAGATGGATAAATATAAAAGTCTAAGTGTGTATGTATAAGTTTCTAATGAATTAGTTACCTTCAATCATTTAAATCGTAAAGGCATCTCTGAGATGACAGTGCCATACATGTTTATTATCCAGAAAGTGAGGAAGAGCACTGAGATTGTCTAAACAACTTTAACAGAGCAAGGATTATCCTTTGATAAGGCAGAAATGAGATTGATTTACTATGTTCTTTCATTACTTTACAACAATTTAAAAGAGAACTCTCTTCTTGTGACAGGTTTTAAATGTATTTGGCTTAAAGCAGCCCATGATGAATGAAAAGAAAAATCAAGGGGTACATGAAATAAAGGCAATCAATCATTTTCTATTAGTGGAGAGAAATTCTAAATTAGAAAGCCAATGGTTTTCATTCCAGAGAGGTCTTTTAAACATGCACCGTACCCTGTAATACACATTGACCCCTCAAGAATAAATATTGTCACCGGTACATTTTTTACTTCATTGGAGGAGTCTTTATGAAGATTAATTCTCTCTGGTTATGAGAAATATCAGCATGTACTATTGAGTACTTTCTGCTGTGTTAAAAAGAACCATTATGTAGCCAGTTTAAATTACAGTAAGCACAATAAATTTAAAAGTTGCACATGTATTTTGCAACATACACTTACATGGAGTCTTTTGACAAAGTGATAGTTTGCTAGAACTTACAGTAAACAATTTATAGTACAATCTACCTGGAATACTTGCATTTAGATGGGAAACACTGAATACAACTTTGAAAGACAGTGCATAATAGCACCAATGGGAGCAGTTTATTAGCTTTTACTGATCTGGATACTCTGAAAAATATGCTGTTACATGCATTACTTAGCATGCTACATTGACAGTTAGGAAGACAAGGTACTAAGGAGGAATTACAGCTATGCAGTCTACTTTCTGCTGCAGTTGCTGATGGGTCTTCCTTTTACCTGCCTTGAAACGCCAGATATTTCTGTACTGTGACATGAATAGTTACAAAACATATCTCTTGCTTCAGTGGCATCTAGAAAGTCATATGTATCCTATAATTTTGTGGTAAAAAAATCATGTCAGCTCCTCCCCTTACTGTCTATTACAAATCGTTAATGACCACTTGGTTTGCTTTTCTTGGTTCAGCATCAGCTTCTGAGAGTTAATTATTGATAATGTAACTGCAGGGAGGGCACCATCGGAAGGGGCAAGGGAAGTGATAAGAGCTAGTACCTGGGTGAGAATTTTTCTTAATTTTACTATTGATGGTTGGGGGAATTATTTTATGAAGTAAAATCTAGTACTCAGTGCTCATCATTTGTGCTGAGAAACATCTTAAATGAATTGTGGATAAAAGAAAGGTTGAATAATCTTCACAGTTATTTAGGAGCACCTTTTTTCCTCTTTCTTTCTCTGATTTGCCTCTACTGAAGATTTGTGATTTCTAAGCCTAGACTAGAGGAAAAAGCACCAAACTGAGGAAACTCAGTCAAATTCAATCTTCTGCAAACGGACACAGTCCCTTGCCAGATTCTAGTTGTGTCTCCATTCTTTTGGCTAAATAATTTTAATGGAGAGATCATTAGTTGAATAACAAAGTCTTAGTGATCAGAATTCTCATGGCTATGTGGTGGCATTTCTGTAGCCTCCTTGTGTTACTGTTCTCAACTTCATGAACTTATTGTGTGCTTGAAATGATAGACACTTATAGACAGGTTGATGTTGTTTCTGGCTATAAAGCTAGAATGTTGCCAGAAATACTAGTCATGCAAACTGTGCAAACTATATAAAAAGATAGATGGGTGGATAGATAGACATTTGTATTTATTGCAAATACAGATTTATAGTTTCACAAATAATAAGGTGTCTGCTGGAATGAATGAAATAACTGACAGATTTTCTTTCTTGGCCATTAATTTTAATGCACCTTGGAGCCTTGTATGGGTGATTCTATTTTTAATTAGAAAATATAAATAAAAGAGATAGCTATTGAGGTCTGTGAAGACAACGACATCTAGAACATTCTGTCTGTTCAGTTAACTGTGCTAACTAATGCTGGCCCAATTACTGAGGAGCTAGTGAACTCTTCCAGTTTTTGCACCGATTAATACAATAGCATGGTTTTCACTAGAGCTTGGACGTTATAGGTGTGGTATGCATGACTTTCATGCAGCTTTGACATTCATGAGTGAGACATTTGCCATATATGTAGTAATAAGAAACACTTTAGATCTCTAAAATGCAAAATCAGAAAACTGTATATAGCTTTTTATTTCCCACACACCTGACTGCTCTGCCTCTTTGGTAGGAAGTTCTTACCAGATGCATCCTTCAGTTGCTGAATCACACAGTTCAAAATGGAGTCCTCTTCATACTATTCATCATGGAAATTGTAAACTTAAATGTCCACTGAACACAGAGTATCTGTATCTGTTTGCAAAATGTTTTGGGTGGATATTGCGTTTGCTTTCAGCAGAAGGCTGAAAGAACAGAAGTGGACTCTTAAACAGAACTTCTCAGTAAAGCCAGGAAACAGGTTATCAACACTTAGGCTGTTCTTATTGTGTCCCTTATCATAACTGACAGTTTGACGTAAAACTGGGTCACATGACCACCAGGGAGGTATGTAAATGGATAAGAGGTCACCTTTCACATATGCTTGCTAGAAAGGAAACACATTTAAAGGAAGTTTCAGTCAAAACAATGACAATATGCAAATGTTAAGTTTTATGGCCTTTTCTCGACTAATAGAAGCTATAGCACAATCTCCTATTACAGTTTCCAAAATACATATCTACTTTCACTAGCAATCACAGAAGCTTGAAATGAGTGCTAGTCTTAGACAGCCACTCTTCAAATAGAAGAATACAAAACCTGCTTAAGTATTAACCTGTAAGAATTATTCTGACTATGATTAAAGATTGAGCTGTTGATGATAGGTTTTTAATGTGCGTAGGATTTGCATACTTTGAAGGCTGGTTGTGCTTGGAAGGTGCCCTGTTTAGACTGAAAAGACAGCTGTGGTGAAACCTAGCTCTTGGGTGGAACTTCATGTCAGTGCATCTCACAGCACTGGGAAGTGGAAGCCAAAATCTCTTTCGAGGGCAGAGCAGGAGCAAGGAGGTGGATGGCTTCCAGGCAGGTGGAGGAGCTAGAAGAAGCATTCAGTCTGCCGTTCTGCTTCTGCCCAGCGCTGCGGCCCGTTCCCGTGCCGCGACAGAGGAGGGTGAGGGGTTGCATGGCCGCTCTGGGGAACCACTTGAAGCGGGCTCTGTGCTCCCCGTGGGTGCAGCACAGAGGACGCTTCCCAGGGAGGAAGGGAGATGGCTGCGGCTCCAGCTGTCCAGAGATGGCCGGGCTGCCTGTGAGGCTTCCCTGTCTGCTGCAAGGCTGGGCATCCTTCTCCGCTTCAGAATGCAGACCCGTGTTCTTTTCTGTGTGGTTAGGTGAGAGGTAAATAAATACAGCCTTGGTAATGTTTTGTGGATGGAAGGTGTTATTGAAGTGGGATTCACGCAGCTTGCCTTGCTGAAAACAACAAAGCCGTGGGGCTGAAGAGCAGGCCTGTGCAGCAGGCTTCTAGGAAAGACTTTAAACCATCTCACATGCCAAATCAGGTCATTAATTTTTCAGTCATAGCATATTTTTGAGAAAGTTAGTAATGTTCTTCAGCATTTATTAAATGTCTCGTTATTTCTTAAGTACTTCTACTGAGTAATTTAATTTTTCTCAAGTGGCCTTCAAAGCAGCTTGCTACCTCTCCCTTTAGCCTGTCCTGCAGAGAAAATCTTTTAGGTGGCCTACTGTGGGTGAGAGTGAATGTGCCTTCTTGTCTCCAGCTAACACTGTGGCATGATTTTAGAGGTCACTTAAGTTACTCTGAGGACTGTAACCAGAAAGTTTTCAGCCTGACTCCAGACAACATACAGCACTCAAAATACTGTAGTGAAGTGCCTTACATCCTTCCAAATCTGGGTACTCATGTCAGGTCCATGCCCCCATGCTTTCTCTGATGGGCTGCCTGGACATCCCTGAAGGGCAGCGTTGCTACTGCTGCTGTGAACAGACATCATCTTCCGTCACACGGAGCCAGGGCTCATAGAGCTCTTGTAAGCTTCTCCAGCCTTTTTATCCAGAAAGTACTCAACACACGTGAGCGATGCAGGCGCGGACTTTGAAAGGGACATTTCTATATACTTTCAAAAGTATATTTGTGAATCTGAGGCATCCTGATCTCTAAGCAAGAGTGATTTGGGAGAGGAAATTTTATGTGAGGAAGAGAAAAAACATTTTCTTGGCAGAGTAGTTTTTAAAGACAATGTGGCAGCTATGTGAGTCTGCTGAGGAGTGTGGAGCTGTAGTTTTTGACATTGGGAAGGTAGTTTTCAGCACAGCTGATGCAGTCCTGGGCTGATCACAGAACCTGTTGCCATACAGACCTGCAGTTCTTTGAGGTGGTGTCAGTATCACAAATATGGCACAGTTGAGACAGTGAACAGCACTAGACTTTACACTATCTGTAAGTCTGGTATAGCGTGAATCTTCATATACGTGTGTGTATGTGTCTAAAGCACATATATAAAATGCACATGTTCTGTTATTACCACTGCAGTATTTAGGTGTATATGTATTGAGGTAAGTGTGACTGTATATAATATGAAGTATGTAATTTCTAACATTTATGAAATAGGTTTGAAAAGCTCCTTTTGGAGCTTTCTTAATGATAAACTTAAGATGTTAACTGTACATCTGTAAAGTTTTCATACAGACTGTGGGAAGAATGTAATGATTTCGTGCAGGAGCTGATTTACTGAAATGTAATACATCAGTCCCTTACTGTTTTCCCCAAATGGCAAATGCAATCAGGTTCTATAGCAAGCTAAGTGCTTGCAGTGTTGTGAGCTAGACCTAAGTGCATAAAATCATTTGGTAACACTTACGTTTGTGATTTTAGTATTTTTTATGGTTCTAATCACCCAAGGGGCTTTTATTCATAGATTTAAGATTTTGTGAAAGTAGGAAAGAGAAGGGGTTTAACCTTTCAGTCTTGTGTTTCAGCTGGAAGTGAGTTTTTATAGCTAATTTACAAAGCTTTAACATACGCAACTGTAATGAAGATGGTGACATTCTTAAGGATTATAGTAGAAATACATCTACTCTACGTTGAGTAACTGGGCTGACATATTTTACTGTGTCTTCAATATTAAAATCAGGTTTACAATACTGTTTTGTATAGTGACTAAACCAAATATTTACTTACCCTTTTCTTTAAACATATTTAATGTATTATTCACAGTTACTTCTAGCAAACTTTTTGACTGCGCATTTCCTTTTCTGGTTAATTTCATGTGGTTAAGTCATGCTTTTAATGGCCTTTAGAAGGTCCCTTAGAGTTCTTTAGATAACAAACAAGAAACAATCCCTATGAAAACATCAGAGACTAATATTTCCATTTCTCAGACCTTAACAGCAGGAAGCTTATGAGTCTAACAGCCAGACAGGATCAGGTTTGCAATATTGTCTTGTCCTCAGCATTTGTGTTTTTCAGGAAAAGACTGCAATTAATTGTGCTCCTGTGAAAATATTTTATTGTGGTTTGTTTGCTGTAGACTGTGCTATCTAAAGACTGTGAATATGGATAGAGAAGACTAAAATCCATCGAATGCAATTAAACTCAGCGACATTATCTTCAGTTCAGAGTGCTGTATCACATATAATGGTACAGCAATTTCTTACAGCATGACTATACAGAGGATAAAATGTATGTTGTCTTCACAAGCCAGAGGAGTTCACTTTCTTAAACTTAAAAAGAAGCAGTATATCTTTTCAGTAAATCTGCTAGCACTATAGGACAGCTCTTAAATAAACAGAGCTATAGAGGGTTGCTTGAACAATCCGTGAAGGCAGAACTGATGATTTGAGGATCTGAGAAGAATTTGTTTCAGCTAACTTTTAGTACATTCCTCATTACAATAAAATCCAATAAAGTATTTTGAATGCTATTATTTTGAGTCTAAAGCAAGATTAGATTATTTTATCACCTCTTGCTAAGTAATACCACTTTCAGTAACACTAGATTAATAAATGTTGATTGCGAAGTACCTTTACCCTTCTTAAATAGCAAGATAAACACATACAGTTTGTTTAATTTGGGCAAATTTTCTGTAAATTGCATGTCTTCTATGTGTCACAAACTGCATGCTACAAGTTATTGATTATATTTGACCTTTACTTAATACACATTATATAGAGCATTGCTTAGAGAAAACAGCATTTTTATTTCCTTTCTTAAAGTATCTCACTATTGAATATTAACATTTCCTTTTATTCCAGCTCAGTTTGTAATCTAATAATGGCTAATTGTTATGTGCTAAACACTAGTTGCTCTTTCATGCTTTATTAATAGAGGAGCATATTAAAGTAGCATTATCTTAAGCAAATCTGTAGGCATTTATTTCTCAGTACAAGTTATTTTTCTTTGTTTTATTTTTTTAAAGTTACTTCTTGGGAAATTAAGGCTTTTGCCATGTACAGTACTAGTTTGCATGTATTCATTTAAATACTAAAAACTGTAGTACTGCTCAATCCATATCTGACTGCTAGGTTTCAATTGACAGCTGAGAATTTGTGACTGGACCATGAATCAAAACGGCAGGCATTTATACCCCAGTGCCAGTGAGGATACATTGGGAATTACTTGGCAAAGGTAACATTTTAATTATTTCCACCCCTACACCACCTCTAAAAAAGTTACATTGAGCTACAGTATCTGTTTTAGCAGGCCTCCAGAGAAATCTGTGACAGCATTTGATGGAAACACGTGTTTGACATTTGTCCCATGCACATTCAGGTCATCTTTAGCTTAAGCTGAATTTAAAAACTACCTTAATTAAGCACCTGGAATGACAATGCTATGCAGTCAAATGCAAAGGGTTTGCAAATGTAAGGTCTTAGACTTTAGAAATGAAAATGTCATTGGCAGAATTAAAGGTCCTATATTGGGGGACTTTGCGGTTAACACAAAGAAAATGGTGCTGTTACAGGTATAAATGAGTATAATTGTGTCTGAGGTGGTGTTAGTTTTGGACGATGAATAACAATACCATTCATAGAGATTTTTCTGGCTAATCAGCTGATGTAGATTTAGGTCACTAACATGTACATGAAGGTAAGGTACAAACCATCTTTATTTCTCAACTAAATAACATAATAATTAGGAATGATTTACACAAAAGAGAGGGGTTTTTTGTATGAAAAAAAAGCAAACACAATAAAACCCGTTAGCCTTTGGTACCTTAATAAATTACTCATTATCTTTCACATGCCTTAGTAGATAATTAATTGTGTTAACAGCAGAGGTGTGTGTGTCTAAATAGGTGTGTAAACAAATCAGTGTAATTGTGAAGCATCGTTTTTTTTCACTTCTTTCATGTGCAGGATTGTCTACAATGCTGAACACTTAATGGGGGTTGTATGTGTAAAGCCGGGTTGGGAGCCTGTCAGAAGAAGTACTAGCTAGTCATTCTCAAAATAATTTTAAATACTTCTTGGGCATTTGTGTGCACATGAAAGTATACACACTTCTGACTAGTTTCTATAAGCATGTGTGTGAGTATGTATATGTATTATGTACAAAATGACTTTTGATGCACTGTATTGTAGTATGGATTGCTAGGTTTAGGGTTTTTGAGTATCAGCTTGGAAGGGTAATTATGGAATTTGAGAATTGGTGCTATTTACAAATCTGAAGTTTAAATGCCTTGAATTTTTTTACTTTGCATTTCCTTTTTGCAATTTTTCTGAAATAATATTTAAAATCTGGAAGAATTGTGGTGGAAAAGAAAGGTGTTATAATTTCTTCCCTTATGGATTAAATGGCACAATGGAAAACTAGCTAATGGATTCACCCCATCTCCTCAAGGGCAGTGATTCACATTATAAATCCCCATCATGCAATAACTGCCACAGTTTTCAATGTACTGCCAAGAGTGAATCCAAACTGAGCTAGTATAGTACAGTAGGGGCGATTTATCCTTTCTCTACAAAGGGCGTTGCTTTTTCGGGGCATCGACAGGCCTTTGGAAATTATATGACAACTGCCTATCTAGGAATATCCTTGAATGGTTTTAATCACTCATCACTCGAGCCCCCTTTAAAGTAATGCCACTTTATACTGGCTGAAGCACTGTTGCAATGTTTGTTAAAGTCTGTTCTTCAGTACCCATCACCCAAGACTCCTGGGCATAAACCATAAAAAGAAAGGAAAGGGGGGAAAAGATTTCTAGGCAATTGCCAAGGAAGCTTTGGTGATGAATACAAGCATGCTTCATGATCCACTCACCTCTATAGAGAAAACTCCTTTGCAGGTTGCTCCCAGAGTGCTGCCTGCCACTCTGACCCTGCCAACATGCAAAAGTGCTGCCAGATGAACTTGGGCACAAATTCTGCCAAGGGCATTTCTTTAAAGGCCCTGGCTAGGCTTTCTTGGCCTTGAATTAAGCACAACCTTGAAGGACAAAGAAACAAACTGTTAGTTCTCCCTAAGTAGATGGCTTTTAGGATTTGGGCTTTGAAATACAACATTCTTCAAATCCCATGTAGGTGAGGATCTAAGATGTGAAATGATACCTTTGCAGGCTAAAGAGCAGTGAGCCCTTTTGACACTAAAAACAGAAACGTGTTGCAAAAGGCATTGTTGCTTATTGGCAAATAAATATATTCTAGTCCAGACAGTCAAATTTTCCCCCACAAAGTGGTTTGGTAAATATTTGATTGGCCTGATTTCCTCAAATCTGCAGTGCTCATTTTGATGGTACTCACTGACCTTTTACAGCAGGCTTTTTTGGTTATTTTAAGTATACTGATTTTTCGGAAATATCGTTGACCTCAAGAAGGTAAAGAAGTTGGCAGTGCCTTAATGTTAGCTGTCCTATCTCTACAGAAACCAGGTAGCAGAGGTGGCCAGTCTGAAAGATTTGTCATGGAGCATTGTTGGTGAACCACACCATGGAAACTTGGGAAGAGTGAATGATGATAAAACCTCTGTTATTTCTGTGTTCTTTGTCAGCTGCCTGTCATACCTTATAGTAGATATGATGCACAGATTTCAAAATATGATGCACAGATTTAAAAATATAGTTTCTGGGGTTTTCTGTTCTCATAAAATTATGTATCTGTTGGCATTTAAAGTCTCAGTTATAAGACAGTAGTGGTCCATATGCAAAAGACTGAATTTTGCAAAAGAAGAGAGTATGAAAAAAACAAGACAAAAAACTAAACACCAAACCACAAAACTTTAAATCATTGTTGCACCATTTTTTTCAAAACCAGAAGACTTGCAAGGAATAGTGATAATAAAAACTGGATTAATACTTTGCCTAGCTGAATTAAATATTCTAGTATCTTTCAAGGAGATACTTACATAAAATATTCTGTGAGCATCCTTTAAAAAAAGGGGAAAGCCCCACAGTAACTTGGTAAGCTATTTGGAAGTAATAATTTCTATTTTGCTCCTGATACCCTAACCATCTATAATTATTTTTTTTCTTGCTTACTTACAGCATTTATGGTATATGTATTTTATTATGTAAGCTGAACTTTGAACAACATTTAAGCACATCAATGGAATTAAATTCTCAAGTATTTTTAATATCATTTAGGTCAATTTTTTGCTGTATATATGAAGAAGATACTCAGAATCCATTAAAAAAACCCAACAACTTCTTTTTTCATAACTGCAATTCTATGGTAATAACTGCTTTTCTAGAGACAGAAGGTGAGGGGAGGCTGTGTAAATCTGTAAGGCTTAGCTAGGAAAACAGAGTCTCGGTTGCTACATGAGAGCAAGAGCATATGCAACAAGTAAATTTAAGATATAAATGAAAGTGACAAAAAGTGTGTATGTGTGTCTAAGTCTGATAACATGAGCTTGAGCCTGAATCTCAGCTACTTATTATGCCATTGGTATTAATTCCGGTGGGATCACTCATAAAAGCCGACATAATGGGTCCCCTTTAGAGCACGTTGAGTATTTGCAAGTCTTTCAGAGACTGTAAATAAATTTTTATGGCCAAAGTGTACATTTTAGTTCAGCTTTTGCCAAATATGTTTTTAGTCCCAACTAGTGTACATTTTAGTTCAACTATTGCCAAATATGTTTTTACTCCCAACTATGTTATTTGTATTCATTTTTTTAACAGTCTTTCTGTGTTAGTTTTACGGGTTAACTGTTACTTTAACGTTACATTTACAGTACCCAGGCAAATGCACTAGGTTAGCATTTCCTGCCTTCGGTCTGTTATCTTGACACACAAGCATAGTACAACAGCTGGTTTGTTCCTGGAGATGCTGAGGGGAGCTCTGTTCTCAGAGTGCTAAATTTCCTTCTCAGCTCTAGCTGCAGGGTCATTCAGCTTTCCAAGTGTCATTTTTTTCCCCGCAGCAAGACTCGGGGTTTATGATAATAATGCTGATAAGGCAGTCAGATGGGATAATCTCTGATTTGTGAAAGAAGGAGGGCAACTGAGAATGGGTGCAGATTGCTTTTGTGGCACAGTACCTTGTGTGTGTTTGGTATCGAGTTGCTGAAGTAACAGAATCAACAGCATTGCTGTGGCAAGCACATTTTGGCAGACACAGACACCTGTTAGCGCAATGGTTCATCCTCCCCCTCTCCTGCCCCAATCCTCTTGGGCAATCTTTTGGAATAGAAGTATCAATTCATTACAATATAAGAACAAAAATGCAGAAGTATCCTGATTGCAAAAGTATTCATAGAAAGAAAACATAATGATTTCTGGTCTTTATCAATTTAAATTGCTAACTCTAATAGTTTTGACCAACTCTGTAATGCAGAAAGATGGGCAGAACATTATGTTTCCTCTCCATCTAGGCAAACATCTTCAGAACACTTCCTAAGAAATTAATTGTATTCAAGCCAGACTTGCATGCTGCCATCCCACAGGAAATGGGTCAGCAATCCATTAAGATGCCATTAGATAATCTAATTTGGAACTTAATCTCTAAATTAACCATGCTCCATACTTGAAGCATACTTGAGAGAAAGAAAAAAAGTTCATGTTTGAATCGATAGGGGAGCCGAAGCGTGAAGAAGGCTGTTTGTTTTTTCTGTAGCTGTGGTCACGTCTCAAGCCGTCTGGTAACCAGGAGAAACCAGACATGATGTAATTGCAGATTGAACTTGAACTTCAGGGGCTTAGAATGGGGGAACAATGGACCATAGGAATCCATAATGTCCATTTTCCACATGATTATGTTTGGAGCTTTAAGTTAACTTTTATGGGAGAAGCAGCAAGAAATGCAGTGTGACCAAAATGAATGAGATGATCCAGAAGCAAGATGTTAAAGTAAAGAAAACAACTTCAGTAAAATTTTCTGAGCAGCACTGCAGATTCCAGCAGGATTAGAAAAGTTCCCGCTCTGCAGTGAACTGGTTGCCTGTTCTGAGAACTCTTTGTTCACTTAGGTAGGACAAACTTAATCTTATGTTTCCTGTCAGATGATTTTTGGCAGCACTGCTAGGGAAGGAGGAGCATATTACAGAGAATTCCCAAGTGTAAACTGAATCTTTAACCCCTTGGTTACTCCAGTTTTCTACTTCTTGATCATCTTACCTCCAATTGTTTCTTTTTAAGTAGTAAAAGTACACTATTGTTTGTTTGTTTTTTTATTGGTGCAGTTAGGATT